CTCATCAATTTCTTTCTTCAATGCTTTAAAGTTCTTGTCAAATAGATCTTTCACTTCCTTGGTCAGAGTTATCCCCAAGATATTTTATGCTATTTGTGGCTATTGTGAAAGGTGATGCTTCTCTGATTTCACTCTCTGCTTCCATATCCTTTGTGTATAGGAGGGCGACTGATTTTTTTGGAGTTGATCTTGTATCCTGCCACATTACTAAAAGTGTTTATCAGCTGTAGGAGTTCTTTGGTGGAGTTTTTGGGGTCGCTTATGTATACTATCATATCATCTGCAAATATCGAAAGTTTAACTTCTTCCTTTCCAATTCGAATCCCCTTGATCCCCTTATGTTGTTGTCTTATTGCTATTGCTAGAAATTCAAGCACTATATTGAAGAGGTATGGAGAGAGTGGACAGCCTTGTCGTGTTCCTGAGTTTAGTGGGATGGCTTTGAGTTTCTCTCCGTTTAATTTGATGTTAGCTGTTGGCTTGCTGTAAATAGCTTTTATTATATTCAGATATGACCCTTGTATACCTAATCTCTCCAAGACCTTTATCATAAAGGGATGTTGAATTTTGTCAAGTGCTTTTTCAGCATCTAATGAAATGATCATATGGCTTTTTTCTTTCAGTTAATTTATATGATGGATTACATTGATAGATTTGCGTATGTTGAACAAGCCCTGCATCTAGGGTGAAGCCTACTTGATCATAATGGATAATTTTTCTAATGTGTTCTTGGATTCAGTTTGCCAGTATTTTATTGAGAATTTTTGCATCGATGTACATGAGTGAGATAGGCCTGTAATTCTCTTTCCTGGTAGAGTCTTTGTGTGGTTTTGGTATCAGGGTAACTGTAGCTTCATAAAAGGAATTTAGCAATGATTCTTCTGTTTCTATATTGTGAAATACGTTAAGGAGTATAGGTATTAGCTCTTCTTGGAAGTTCTGGTAGAATTCCGCATTGAAACCACCTGGTCCTGGGCTTTTTTTTTTTGGAAGGGAGGTTTTTTGATAGCAGTTTCTAATTCTTCGTGACTAACAGGTCTATTTAGATTGTTCACCTGGTCTTGGTTTAACTTTTGTATATGATACTTATCTAAGACAGGAGTGATTCTTGTAACAAATCAGAGATGTCTGTTGACAGGAGGTTAGAGACCACAGAGTAGGATGTGAGATGGAGAATGGGGGAGACAGCAAGGTCAGGAGGAGAAAAGTCACACTTAAGAAACAAAGCTCAGAAAGAGCAATTGATATGGTACCCAACAGAAAATAGAGGCATTCTAGGTGATAGGAGGTACTTAAGCTAAGAAATGAAACTCAATGTTTGGTGGCTCATTTTTTTTCATTATGTGTATGTGGTGGCGAGTATGTACATGTGAGTGCAGATGCCTTTGGAGGCCAGAAGCACTGAATCCCCTGGAGCAGGAATGACAGGTAGTTGGAAGCTAGCTGACTTGTGTTTTGGGATTCATACTTAGATCCCCTGCTTTTAACCATTGAGTTGTCTCTCCAGCTCCTGTCTCTCTCTCTCTCTCTCTCTCTCTCTCTCTCTCTCTCTCTCTCTCTCTCTCTCTCTCTCTCTCTCTATTTTTGCTTTGTTTTTTAAACATGATTTCTCTGTAGCTTTGGAGCCTGTCCTAGAACTAGCTCTTGTAGCCCAGGCTAGCCTTGAACTCACAGAGATCTGCCTGCCTCCTCCTCCCGAGTGCTGGGATTAAAGGCATGCACCACCACTGCCCGACTTTAGCTCCTTTCCTTAATACATGTTACTGAGATGTGATAAACAGACCATACAATTCAGCCTTTTAAAAAATATACCTCAGCTGGGCGGTGGTGGATCTCTATGAGTTCAAGGCCAGCCTGATCTAAAAGAGCTAGTTCCATGACAGGCTCCAAAGCTACAGAGTAATCCTGTCTCGAAACCCCCCCCAAAAAAAATACACACACACACACACACACCTCAAGTCAAGTGATGATATATATCAGGTTTTTTTTTAACAATTGTGCAATCATCACCACTATCTAAGTCCAGAACATTCTGATTACCTCTAAAGGAAATTCCATATCCATTATCAGTCACTCCTAATCCTCAATCAATTCCTGGCACCCTCTAATCTGCCTTCTATCTCTATGAATTTGCTTATTCCAGACATTACATAAAAATGGAAGAATATGATATATGACCTTTGCTGTCTGGCTTCTTTCAGTGAGCATAATTGTTTCAAGGTTCATCTATGTTGGAAGTGAACCAGGCCTTCGTTCCCTCTTATGACTGACTAATATTTCATTGTACACATATACAATTTCTTTTCTCTCTGTTCTTTTGAGACAGACCTGTGCCATCACATCTGGCCTATTATAATTGTTTTTTAACTATATATTCATTGTGTGTAGCAAAAATTTCATAACGACATGTTTGCTTGTTTGTTTTTCTTTTTTTCTTTCTTTCTTTTTTGTTTGTTTTTCAAGACAGGGTTTCTGTGTGTAGCTTTGGTGCCTGTCCTGGAATTCACTCTGCAACCCAGGCTGGCTTTGAACTCACAAAGATCTACCTGTTTCAGCCTCCTGAGTTCTGGGATTATAGGCCTGTACCACCACCATTGCCTGGCTTTGTTTTTTTAAGACAGGGTCTGACAACATAGCTCTGGCTGTCCTAGAACTCAATAAATAGACCAGGTTAGCCTCTGCCTCCCAAATGCTAGGATAAAAGGCATGCACCACTACTATGTTCAGCTTTCTTTCTTATTTTGTTTGTGTGGTTTTTGAGACAGAGTTTCTCTGGGTAGGTTTGGAGCCTGTCCTGGAATTTACTCTGTATACCAGGCTGGCCTCAAACTCAAGAGATCCTCCTGCTTCTGCCTCCTGAATGCTGGGATTAAAGGTGTGAGCTATCACTGCGCAGCTACACTCAGCTTAGTATGATGATCTCCAGTTCTATCCATTTTCTTTATGGCTAAATAAAACTCTATTGTATATAATGTATCACATTTTCATTATTTGTTCATCTATTGATGGACATCTAGGCTGGTTGTATTTCTTTGCTATTGTGAATAGCACAGCAATAAACATGGATATGCAAGTATTTCTGTGGTAGGACTAAGAGTCCTTTAGGTGTTTGTCCAGGAATGGTACACATAGGTCATATGGAAGTTCTGTTTTCAGGTTTTTGAGGATCCTCCACAGTGATTGACATAGCAGCTCTACCCATTTACATTCCTGCACAAAAAAAGAAAAGAGGTTCACCTTTCCATACATCTTCCCAGCATTTCTTTTCTTTCTTTTTTTTTTTTTTTTTTCGAGACAGGATTTCTCTGTAGCTTTGGAGCCTGTCCTGGAACTAGCTCTTGTAGACCAGGCTGGTCTCGAACTCACAGAGATCCGCCTGCCTCTGCCTCCCAAGTGCTGGGATTAAAGGCATACGCCACCACCGCCTGGCCTTCCCGGCATTTCTTATCATTCCTTTTTAAATTTATTTTTATTTTTGGTTTTTGAATTTGCACTATAAATCAGGTCTATATTCCTAGGTCCTATGGTAATTCACTGTTTAGCTTTATAAGGAACTGCCAAGTGCTTTTCCATTTTATCTCCTCCCAGACATGGGTGGGGGTCCCACTTCTGGCCTGACCAATGTCTGCTCTTACCTCCCTTTGTTCCAGCTTCCCTGATTAGGATGACATTTATTTATTTATTATGGTAGTAAGATGGGAAAGTACACATGTTACTGCACACATATAGAGGTCAGAAGATAACTTTTTTGTAGTTAGTTCCCATACAGATCCTGGGGATCAAACTCAGGTCATCAGGCTTGGTGGCAAGCATCTTTACTAGCTGAGCCACCTCACCAACCCACCTTATTGCTCTTTATGTAGCTTTGATTTTTTTGAGAAAATGTTTCACACTATATAGCTCAGGTTGGCCCTGAACTTGTAGCAGTCCTCTTCCCTCAGCCTTCAGAGAACTGAGATTATAGGTGTGACTACCACACCTGGCATATATAGCTTTGTGAACTCAAGATCCTCCTGCCTCCACAACCCAGATGCTAAGTTGCTCTGGGCTAAGAAAAGTTTTAGAGGACTACCTTTACTAGCCATGTGGTTTACAAGTATTCTTTCCCAGTCTGTATGTTGCCTTTGCCCTTTGCTGATGATGTCCCACAGTATTCAAAAGTATTTATTTTGAAGTTCAGGTTGATCTGCTTTTCTTTTATTGCTTGTGTTTCTAGTCTCATAGCCAAGAAATAAAATCCAAGAGCAAGTTTTACCCATTTTCTCCTTTGAGTCAGTTTTCATTTATGCTGTGAGAACATATGTGCTTCTATTACATCTGCCTGTCATAACATGGTATGCACAATGCTTATCTTTCCATGGTGTGCCTTGACTTTCCACTTTCTGTTCTGCTCCCAACCTTGGCTTGTAGACTCAGAAGCCATGAAGAAGGCAGCCTTAGAAATGGAGGAGGAGGAGCTGGTCAGTGAGCGCACAGAAGCCTTCACCATTGCCCGAAACCTCCTCACAGCTGCTGCAGATGCCACTGAGAGGATCATGTCATCCTACAAGGAGGTAACCCCAGTGTAGCACCCACCCTGCCCACTTTCCCATTCCCAAACTGGTTGGGGTTGAGCCCATGTCACCCTCCTTATAGGTGACAGAGCTGGCTGGCTACACAGCCAGGGTGTACGAGATGTTCCAGGTTTTTGAAGATGTCCAACACTGTCGTTTTAAGAGGACTGGGGATCTAGAGGAGGCTCAGGCTAGGCCTGGGGCCATGGTACGATCTGGTGTCCGTGTAGAGGGGCCCTTGAAGATTCAAGGTAAGGTACCCTCTGTGTAAAGTGCTTCCTCTGCCTTTCTACCCATTGCTTTGTCTCTTCACATTACCACCCCAACATTCAAGCAGCCCTGTATACCCTGTCTCATCCACTTAGCACTCATTGCCAGAAAGGTCATTGAAGACTAAGTCACTCGGGAGGGACTGGCCCAGCAGCCTGCCTTCTCCAACCACTGACCACCAGTTGAGCTGCTGACACACCCTCCCAAGACTGTTGGTTTGGATTACCAGTTAAGACAGAGGGGGTTCTGGACTCTCAATGCTGGATATCACACACCCACACAAGGCAAACAGATAAATCAAGGCAGTGAGTGAGGGACAGGGGTGTAGTTCAGTGGTAGAGTACTTGCCTAACATGTATGAGACCTTGGGTTCATTTTCCAGCATGGCAATAAAAAAAAGGGCATTGCATGGCTAGGAATATAGCTCCATGTTTGCCTAGCATACACAAGGCCCTCAGTTCAATCCCTACTGCCACATAAAGCACACATGATAGTGTCAAGGTCAGCATTCTGTCTAAAATTAAATAAATGAATAAGTAAATAAATAAAATATTTACATTCATAAGTGAGGGCTAATGCCTGTAATCCCAGTACTTGGGAGACTGATGCAGGATTGCTGCATATTCAAGGCCAGTGAGGGCTATAGTATAAGACCCTGTTTCAAAAAGAAACAAAAGAAAAAGAAAGTCAAGGCAAAGCACAAGCACAAAAGAAAGTCCGCCCAGCTGCCAGTTCACAGGAGTCAGGGCACTGCAGCAGAGGAGCCCAGGCATTGAAGCTCATCTTACAATATTGCCAAGAGAGGTTGTCACAGGGCAAGACTACCCACTCAAGCTGGGCAGTGGAGGCACAGGCAGGTGGATCTCTGTGAGCTCAAGGCCAGCCTGGTCTACAAGAGCTACTTCCAGGACAGGCTCCAAAGCTACAGAGAAACCCTGTCTCGGAAAAAAAGAAAGAAAGAAAGAAAGAAAGAAAGAAAGAGAGAGAGAGAGAGAGAGAGAGAGAGAGAGAGAGAGAGAGAGAGAGAGAGAGAAAGGAAAAGAAAAAACTACCAACTCAATGCCTTGGGTTCCAGAGGACCAAAAGGAGGCAACTGAGGGCATACTACTTGACTCTGGGGTTATTAACTTGTTGGAAAACCTCTGTTTTTGCATGGGCCCTGGATCACACCATTCTTTTTAAGAACCTAGGGCCTACTATTGAGGTAGATTAAGCCTGTGCCAAGGGAGAAGGAATGAGCATCAGGGCATAGGAAAGCAGAAAAATGCTGTGTTCCTATCCTTCCATGTTCTCTACAGGCCAAGTGGTGGATGTGGAGCAGGGGATCATCTGTGAGAACATCCCTATCATCACACCCACAGGAGAGGTGGTGGTGGCCAGCCTCAACATCAGGGTAGGTCAAGTGGAGGAGCATACCCAACCTGAAGTACTAACCAGTCTAAGCCAAGTAGCTGGGGACAGGTTATCTGGCCACCTGCATCTGTGAACTGTAGCCATTGGCATCTTGCTTAGCTATCAGTGGTGGTGTTGTTCTCAGGTCTACTTGGAAGATGGGCTAAGATCAAGCTGAGAGACCTTGAGTTCTGAAGTAATAGCAGGGGGAGTGCTGATAAAAGACACTAACAATTACCAGGATTGTCTAAGGGTTACCAAAGTGTTTCTGGTTTGATCATTTGCTCTTCCCACAAGGCTTCCCTGAACTCTGAGCTATTAGAAACCAAAGATAAATCAGAGAGTGGGCTGCCCTCAAAAATTACCCACTGCTTGGTATGGTGGTGCACACCTTTAATCCCAGCACTCAGAAGGCAGAGGGCGGGAGGATCTCTATGAGTTTGAGGCCATTCTGGGCTACAGAGTGAGTTCTAAGAGTTTTTAGACAGGTGGTGATGGTGCACACCTTTAATCCTAGCACTCAGATGGCAGAGGCAGAAAGATCTCTGTGAGTTCAAGGCCAGCCTGGTCTACAGAGTGAGTTCCAGGAAAGGCTCCAAAGCTACAGAGAAACCTTGTCTTGAAAAACAAAAAAAAATAAAAAATAAAATAAAAATAAAATAAGAGCCACCAAAGGGTGATAATCATTTCATGAGAGGAAGCCCAGTAAAGCTTTTCCTCAAAGCATAGGTAGGCACAACTGTAGTTAGGGGCTGAGAGACAAAGGGACCTGGGCCTGCCTTGTCCCAACAAGGGAGGAAGCTGGAAAGATGCAAGAGGAAGTGGAATATCAGCTCTTGGCCTTCACTGAGGGGTTGAGCCTGAAGAAGAGCAAGATCCTAGAAAGCCAGTTGAGGCAATGTACAGAATATGTCTCTTCTCTATACAGTATAACATAGTGGTGTGGTCCCTGATGGACCCGAGGTAGGTAGTTTCCTTAGTTTCCTGGTGCCCAAAAATCCAAGATGCTGCAGCCTGGGTGAGCAGATTGCACCTGAGTTGAGAACAAGGCTGCCAAGGAATCTGGTGGAAGAGTGGGGCAGGGACCCTGAGGGAGCCTGAAACCTTCTTGCCACTCTTGTCCTTCAGAACCAAGTGCCTATGCTGGTGAGTATCCTGGGGCCTAAACAAGCCCCTTGGACTGAGCAGCACTATCACCAGAAATGGACTCCTTCCATATTCTGGAGGCCAGAAGTCTAGCTTCAAGGGGTAAGATGGTTCCTTCTTGGAGGGAATGTGCACCCCAGGCCTTGCCTGACTTCTGGTTTAGACAGTCCTTAATATTCCTGGGTTTCTGCTGTATCTCCTTACTCTCTGCCTCTATCCTCACACACATACACACCCCTCTCTGTGTGTCTATTTGAATCTTACCTTTTGTAAGGACTCCAGCCATGTTGGATTTAGCTCACTCCCCTCCAGTGTGCCTCAGTGTCCATTTAGCTAATTTCATGTGCAATGCAGTTTCCACTCTGAGACAGTAGGACATAGGACTTCAGATAAATCCAGGGTGCACAGGTCAACCTATCACATTGCTCAAGGTAAATCAAAGGCCAGAACCTGGATTGTCCTGGGAGCCCTGTGCTGCAACACCCTTATCACTTGCAGATAAGAAAATGCCCACACTGAAAGAAGGAAAGGACTGAGGATGGTAGTGCTGGGGATGGCCATGCAAGTCTGCTGTGCAGTGCTATGTCTCCTTTGTGACCCAGTCTCTCTGCCTAGCTAGCAGTGGCACTAACCCCTCCTTCCTGCCATGGCTGCCAGTACTCCATTGCTCAGCTGCTCTGGGGCCTAAAGGCCAATATGGCCCCTGTGTTTGGCTTGTGTTATCTAGCATGTTAGGGCCTTAGGGGACAGAACTAAGTCTTGTCCATTCCTCTATATGCTAGACCTGGCATTCAACTGAGGCTCTGCATACTGGACCCCATCTCTGTTGCCTTATAGTCACTTGCCAAGAAATCAAGAATGGCTGGGTGGCTAGGGTTGGTGGTTCACGCCTTTAATCCCAGCACTCGGGAGGCAGAGACAGATGGATCTCAGTGAGTTCTAGGCCAGCCTGATCTACAGAGTGAGTTCCTGGACAGGCTCCAAAGCTTCAGAGACACCCTGTCTCAACAACAAAAAAAAAAAAAGGAAAAAAAAGAATGGGCTTGGTGACACACACTTAAAATCCTTGCCCTTGGGATTCTAAGGTAGGAAGATTGAGTTCCAGACCAGCCTAGGCAACAGCAAGACCCTTCCCACCTGCCAGCCTTGTATAGTAAAGGAAGCTAGCTTGCTTGCTTTTCTTCATTCCTATCTTACTTGCTTCCTTCCTTCCTTTCTTTTTTGAGACAGGATCTGGTGTAGCTCAAGTTGGCCTTGAACTTATTGTGTAGCCAAGGATTTAAGTTGAATTGAACTTGAACTTATGATCTTCCCGTTTCTATCTTTCAAGTTCTGACATTACAAGCATACATGGTTTATATGTTTATTTATTTATTTATTTTTGGTTTTTCGAGACAGGGTTTCTCTGTGGTTTTGGAGCCTGTCCTGGAACTAGCTCTGTAGACCAGGCTGGTCTCGAACTCACAGAGATCCGCCTGCCTCTGCCTCCCAAGTGCTGGGATTAAAGGCGTGTGCCACCATCGCCCGGCTCATACATGGTTTATATGGTACTGAAGATTGAACCCATGGTCTGTGTATGCTCAGCAAGCACCCTGCCAACTGAGCTGCATCCCCATCCCAGATGTAGAAAGTTTTATGAGACTGGGAAGGAGGCCACGGTGATTCCGGGTATGGGGAAAGAGACTGAAGCTCTGGATGCCATGCCCTGATTCTTCCACAGGTGGAAGAAGGCATGCACTTGCTCATCACAGGCCCCAATGGCTGCGGCAAGAGCTCGCTGTTCCGAATCCTGGGTGGACTCTGGCCCACATACAGTGGTGTACTCTATAAGCCCCCACCCCAGCGCATGTTCTATATCCCTCAGAGGTGAGTTAACCCATTTTCTGTGTCTTCCCCCACCTTTTCTCATCTGTGCAGTGGGAGAGTACACTTCTCAGGAGAGGATGCCAAGATATTACACCAGATCGCAATAGTCATCTAGTCCTGTCCGTTTCAGATTGGGATGGTGGGTCTTACACTCATGTCCACAAATAAGGATGATACACATACTTGTGTCCATGTACACATGTGAATATATGGACATATTAGCTGGGCAAGTGCCTGGGTGTGGTATGTCAGCAGTTGAAAAGCTCTGTGGCCAGGGCCACTCTGGACGCACAGAGCACTACTGGGAAACAGGGCCACCTTGCCCTAGTGGACATGCAGCTTTCCCACAGGCCATACATGTCTGTGGGCTCCCTGCGCGACCAAGTGATCTATCCCGATTCTGCGGAGGATATGCGGAGGAAGGGTTGTTCGGAGCAGCAACTGGAAGCCATCTTGGGCATCGTACATCTTCGCCACATCCTGCAACGGGAGGGAGGTAGGGGCAGGGCATGGGGTTACACACCAGTCACCCTTTGTCCTGAGACTTTAATGGGAACCTGTTGCCAACCTACCTCTGGCCTCTTCCCCTATTCCCAGGGGACAAGAGTTACCTCAGCATCCAGGAATTCAAAGTGCCTGCCAGGGAGGAAGGGTAAACAGGTTGCTTGGGTGCCAAAAAAGGAGATTTGTAGAAGAGCACTTGCCTCATTGGTTACCTAGAGACCCTCTGTCAAAGAAAAAGAATAACAACAACAACCTAGGACCTAGGATGGTTACCTTGTTGGGGAGCTAGATGGCAACAGGACAGGCTGCAACTTGGGCTTGGGATACAAAGATATTGGCTGCCTCTGTGAGGTACTGAAAGCTCTGAGGCTTTAAGTAACCAACTAACAGAGAAGTTTTCCATTTGAACAAGTTGACCCTTCTGTGGGTAGGGTAAGATGATCGGCCAGGTATATGCTTCCTTGCACAAAAGCTTGGGATGTGAATGGAGATCAGAACCAATGGGTGACTCTGAGGAAAGCCCCAAGAGGGAGGGACAAATGGCAAGAGAAAGTGTTTTTGAGAAGAGAAAGCTTATTGAGGGACATCTCCTATAGTGCCCTGTGGTTGCCTTGAATGACTACTACCTGTGGCCAAGTATTGCAACATCTTAGCATTGAATTCAACTCTGAATAACAGTACCATGCTAATCCCCATAGGCTGTAGGATGGAGGAAGTGGTGATGGACAAAGACAAAGGATATTTACCTTGGTAGTACATGTATGACAGTGGCTAGAACTAGCACCTTGGTTACCCTTCACAAGAGGGCAAAGCTAGAATGTTCCACATGCTCTAAGGAAACAGGATGGATGACAGGAGAGGAGATGTCCTGCCACATTACCCTCCTCACATGCTCACTCAGTCCTCTATTCCAGCTTAGTGGCATCAGTCCATGAGTTGTAGCCCAATTCTTCTAGTGAGGGGCCTCCATTCTGAGGAGAATACTCTAACATCTCTGGGGCTCTTTGCCCTCAACATCTGCTGTCTGCGGAGGTCAGTGTTGGCAGGTTCTTTATTGGCAACCCATTAGGTGTCCTGGGGCTGCCATGACTAAGTACCACGGACTCACAGGCTGCAACAGAGACCTTTGTTTTCTGGCATTCTGGAGATATATTTGGGTGTGACAAAGCCAGCTCCTTCAGAGACTATGAGGAAGGACACACTAAGGGACTCTGCTCAGCTGATAGCCAGCCAACTTCTTACTGTGTGTCTTCATATCATCTTTCCTCTGTACATGTCTCTGTGTTTAGACGTCCATTTTCTATAAAGGCAACAGTCACACTGGGTTAGAGTCTACCCTCTTGACCTCAATCTGAGCACAATTGAAAAGACCCTCTCTCCAAATCCTGCTGGGGAGACAGTACTTGTTCTAGATAGTTCAGTTATTAGCATTATAGGCAGATGAGGACGCAGAGCAGAAGTCTGCAGGTGGACAAGTTCAGCCAGGATCAAATGTGCCCTGGCTTTCCATCAGCCTCATGCAACCCTGCTCCTACCCTGACTCCCACTGGGTATGTGTGAATTGAGCTGAGCCCCTCACCTCCTGCCCAGGTTGGGAGGCTGTGTGTGACTGGAAGGATGTCCTGTCTGGAGGTGAGAAACAGAGGATCGGCATGGCCCGCATGTTCTACCACAGGTGAGCACTACAGTGTCTTTCATGGACATTCAGTGATTTGGAACCAGGAGAGGGAAAGTGGGTGCTCCCTTTAGGAGGAAGATAACTGCATGGAGCAGCCTCTACCCTCCTTCCAGTACAATAGGGCCACAGTTCACAAGTGGCTGGCCACAGGCAGGAAGTTGGATACTGGTGGGTAATCCACAGCTTTCCTCTTCACCCATTCCCACCCTAAGGCCAAAGTATGCCCTCCTGGATGAGTGCACTAGTGCTGTGAGCATTGATGTGGAAGGCAAGATCTTCCAAGCAGCCAAAGATGCTGGTATCGCCCTACTGTCCATCACTCATCGGCCCTCCCTATGGTAGGTGTTCTTGGAGTTATGGGTGGGGGCTGCCTGCCACCTGAGCTGGGAAAGCAGCTGTGACAGCCTTCCATCTCTCCTGTTCAGGAAGTACCACACACACTTGCTGCAGTTTGATGGGGAGGGAGGATGGAAGTTTGAGAAGCTGGACTCTGCAACCCGTCTAAGCCTGACTGAAGAGAAGCAGCGCCTGGAGCAGCAGCTGGCAGGCATCCCCAAGATGCAGGGGCGCCTTCAGGAGCTCCGCCAAATCCTTGGCGAGGCTGCAGCCCCAGTTCAGCCCCTGGTCCCAGGTGTCCCCACTTGACTGGGGACCTTGTCCCCAGTCCCCACCCTTCTTCAGGCTCTCGGATCATATGAAGGAAATTGCAGTTCCCACCCTCCTCTCACTGCCCTGCATGCCTTCCCTGTCCCAAGCCTCCTAACCAATTGCCTACCTTCCCTGAAGACCCCACTCTTGAGCAAGTCGATATGAATGAGGACACTTTACTTCTTCCTGCCCCCATCTCGCCTTCACCATGAGGTCTGCTCCATGAACTGTGCCATGATAAGGCAATGTGTCCTTTACTTTTCTCTAGGAAGGGGTGGAGGGTTTGGAAGGCCCCAGTTCTGACCCTACACCAGTATGCCTGAGCCATAGGAAGTAAACAGGAGCTGTCCCCTTATTGCCAGCAGCCAGAATGTGTGGCAAGTCTGGTAGTTGTGAGCCACATCCCTCCTGAAACCTAAGTCCTCATTGTTCCTTTAATCCATCCCTTTGTTGTCATCCTCTAGGGTGGACAGCCAAAGCCCCTGTCCCATAGGACACCCCTCCCAGCCATGGAAACAGCCGAATGGGACATAGGATCAGACAGGGCCCAAAGCATGCCCTTCCCCATGGTAACCCCCAGAAGGGCATAGTGTTCCTTCTGAGCCATGAGAAAAATGGAGCCCTGGCCTTCCCACTCCTCCACCTTCTACAACCTAATTTATTGAACTCCCAGTTTATAGCTGTCTGAATTGCCAACGTGAGCACCCTGCCAGCACAGGAGGTGACCGGGTGGTTCCTTCAGTCTGCCCAGCCTCTGCTGCCAAACCTGACCCCTCACCAGCCTATACTGCCAGTTGCCACTGGGGGTGCCCTCTGCCAGCTAGGCAGGAGTGAGGGCACAATGTTCCCAGCTCAGTGCCAAAGATGGGTCATAGGAGGTGCTGTGTCTGTTAAGCCGGCCCTCAACAAGTGGGATACCCCCCACACACACTGCCGCTGTGTGCCTTTCCTGGGCCTTCAGCCCTCTGACTGGGTGCCCCTCGGTCCTCTCAAGTAAAAACCTCTGGAAAGTACACTCCTGCCTCCTGGACTTGGTGTCTGGTAGAAGTTCTAATAAGCTGGGCATGGTGGTGTATACCTTAACCCTGTACTTGGGAATTAGAGGCAGGTGGATTTCTGAGTTCAAGGCCAGCCAGGTCCACATAATGAGTTCCAGGACAGCCAGGGTTACATAGCGAGACCCTGTCTCAAGAAACAAGCCCCAGCCCTCAGGAGACAAAGGCAGACAGATCTCTGTAAGTTGAAGGCCAGCCTGGTCTAAGGAAGAGAGTTCCAGGACAGTCAGGGCTGTTACACAGATAAACCCCATCTCAATACCCACTCCCCCACACACACAAAAAACCCCAAAAACTTCTGGGGAGAGATCAGAATGTTGGCTGGAGAAAATGGTCAGCTGCTAATCCCATGGGGCACAAAGACAAAAGCTGATTCAGTCAGTATTCTCTGCTTATACCTTCTGTGCACTAGGGAGGTAGAGCTGACAATCATTGCTCTAGAATACCACCTGACTTTGAGCCCGTGCTGGAAAACAGGGACATCTGCCTAGTCCCAGAGGGAGAAGTGCAATGCTATAGAAAGTCAGTGAGCTGCCAAGGAGGGAAGCCGAGCACTGAGGAAGCCACAGGAAAGAAGTTATTCCTAGATTGTATTGCACCGAACCTTCTAGGAAGAGGGAATAGCTTGTGCAAAGACCCAGAGGTGAGTCCAGTGCAGGGAGAAGGAAAAGCTTGGATTGAGACAAAAGGTCACTGAGGGGACCCATGCAGGATGGGAATGGCCTTGGGGTGGCACAGAAGGTTATTATAAGCAGAGAATACTGACTGAATCAATGCAGCTGTGTATGGACTCTTGCTAGGAATGGGGTGGGGGTGCTGTGGGCCGCTCTAGTAAAGCTAAACCGAGTTCATGTCCTGCCCAGCATTTCCCACCCTCATGTCATAACAAAAGAGCCAAGAACAGCTGGTCAGTCAGAAGCCCATGGTGCAGATGGTTATTATATAGATTCACAGAAGCCCGAGTGCCCACAGATGGACAAATGTGGCATATCTGTACAGTAGAATATTTTTGGCCATAAAAGGTAGTGAAGCAGTGGCACATGCTACAACATGTACAGACCCTAAAGACATGATACTGACAAAGAAACAAGACACAAATGTCTAAGTATTATATGATTGCATTTAAATGAAAGTATCCAGAACAGACAAATCCATAGCAACACAAAGCAAATGTACAGCTGCCGGGAATGGGTGTGTGTGTGTGTGTGTGTGTGTGTGTGTGTAAGAATGGATATAGGAAGAGATTGTTTAACTAATACAAGGTTTCTTTGGGGGGAAGGTAATGAAAATGTTCTGGAACAACAAAAGTAATAGTTGTGCAATATTGAATATATAGAAATAGGTAATGGATTAGTAGAACAATAAATTACCCAGACATGGTAGGTAGCTCAAGTCTATAATCCCAGCACTTAAGCTGTTGAAGGAGGATTGGCACAAGTTTGAGATCGCCTTTGGCTATACAGTGTACTCTAGGTAAGGTAGATTCAAGAGTTAGACCCTTTATAAAAAAAGCCAAAAAGAAAAAAAAAAAACTAGGTTCATAAATGATGCACAAAAGAGGATTTATAGATAGTAGATGATAGAAGGATGATGATAAGGATGGATGGGTAGATAGATGATAGATAGGTAGGTAGGTAGGTAGGTAGGTAGGTAGGTAGGTAGGTAGGTAGAGTTCTAGTTTGTTTTTCTGCTAAACATCCTGATGCACCACACAGTGGTGGTGCATGCTGTTAAACCTAGCACTTGAGAGACATAGGCAGATGGATCTCTGAGTTTGAGCCAGTTTGGTCTACAGAGCAAGTCCCTGGACAGCCAGGGTTCCACAGAGAAACCTTGTCTTGACAAACTTAAAAAAATATATTTGGACCAATACAACTTGGGAAGGAAGTATTTATTTGGCCTATACTTCCAAAAGCCAATCATTAAAGGAAATCAGGACAGGAGATCAAACAGGAATGGGAGTAGAAACCATGGAGAAAAAAACTGCTTACTGGCTTACTCCCTCTGGCCTATGTTCAGCCGGCTTTCTTTAGAACCCAGCCCTAGGAATGGACCATCCTTTATCAATTAATAATCAAGAAAATGCCCCATAGGCAAGCCCACAGGCTAATCTCGCTGAGGTAATCCCCCAAAAGACTCCCTCAGATAACTCTGGGCTGTTAAATTGAGTTAGTAGGAGAAATAAATATGGGAAGTTATAAAAGACAGTAGATAGCTGATAGTGTCTTAGTGCTCTTTTGCTGGGAAGAAAAACCATGACCAAGGCAACTCAACTCATAAAGCATTTAATTAGGTCTTGCTTACAGTTTCAGATGTTTAGTTCATTATCATCATGAAGGGGAGCATGATATGTAGGCAGACATAGTGCTGGAGAAGTAGCTGAGAGTTCCACATCCTGGTCCATAGGCAGGTGGTAGCTGGCAGAGAGAGAGAGAGAGAGAGAGAGAGAGAGAGAGAGAGAGAGAGAGAGAGAGAGAGAGAGAGAGGGGGGGGGGGGGGGGGCGGGCCTGGCNAGAGAGAGAGAAAGGGGGGGAGGGTGGGCCTGGCATGAACTTTTGAAACCTCAAAGCCCATCTCCAGTGACACACTTCCTCCAACAAGTGCCACTTCCTGGTGACTAAGCATTCAAATATATGAGCCTATGGGGGCCATTCTCATTCAAATAAGCACAGATTATAGGCAGACAGACAGATAGATAGATGATAGATAGATGACAGACAGAGATAGATAAGGCTGAGAAAGCCAAACAAGCAGGGCCCTTGCCTCGGCAGAAGTCTGAAATCTGGAGGGGAATCAGAATTTGAAGAGGCAAGGTGGCCCCTGAGTTTGGGCTGTCTGGGTGTGTAGGGGGTGGTAGTACCTTTCTTTCAGGGAGAGGCAGATTAGAAGAAGGATCTGGGTTTGGGGAGATAATGTAGTTTCCACAGGATGGAGAAGAAGCCACGAGTAGCGGCCAGTGCAGCTCATGGTGTTCAGCTGAGCAGGATCAGCAGAGGCAGAGGCAGATGGTAGAGGAAATTGAGGAGTTGAGGTGACTTCAGAAGTTTTGAGTACCTTGAGTGACACATGAGAAATAGAACACATGATTGATTAGTCCTCGATTCTCCTCCAAACTCTGCCAAAATGACAAATAATTCAGCTATCCAAAGGAATATAGTCACAACAGAAAATAAGGGAAGGAGTTAATGGACAGTGTGTAGATGCTCAGCAGTGGGAAGGAGCAATGGCCGATTTAGGAACAGAGCAACTGATTTGTGAACTGAGCAAGTGATGGGAGGCACCAACAGCTGTGTACCCAGCATAAAGGCCACAATCCAAGGCCTCATGAGAAATGAATATGCCAACACCATGATCTTAGACTTCCAACCTGCAGACCTGACTACATACATGGTACTGAAACAAATAATGTTGGGGCTGGAGAGATGGCTCAGACCTTTGACTGTTGTTCAAAAGTCGTAAGTTCAATTCCTGGTACCTACATGATGGCTCACAACCATCTGTAATCTGGCGCCCTCTTCTGGCCTGCAGGCATACATGTAGGCAGAAAGCTATATATATAATAAACAAAGTATTTTTTTTAAGAAAGAAACAATGTTACAGACATTCTTGTATCCTTATTTTCAGAAGGGGAAAGGCAGTTGCCATGGTGTAAAGACACCTAAGAAATCTGTGGGACCAAGGACTTCCAAGGTCAACAGAACCACCCATGAATAGATTAAGGAGAATGTGTGAAGTTGAACTGGGATAGAAAAACAGGAAAATTATGCAGACATGGAAAAGGAAAGAGCCTCTCTCTTGAAAGTCTTATGGGGCCTCTTCCCAGAGGATAATGAAGAATTCCATCTGTAGATCTGCAATTTTCTAAGAATCTCACCAGAAACCCCCTTTACAGGAAAAGGCTTCTGGGGCACGTGGAAAGTCATAATACAATTTACAGGACTCAATTCTCTCTTCCTCCATGTAGGTATTGGGGATCAAACTCAGGTCATCAGGCCCAGCATCAAGCCCACTGCTGTGTCTCGTTGACCCACGTGGCTCTCAGTTTTACCTACCAGATTATAGTCCTGCCCAAATTACCTCGAGAGGCACCCTATCATCTCAGTTGTCAAAAAGAGAGGGCTGCAGAGATTGCTCAGCTGTTAAATTCTGTTCTTAGCAACTAAATGTGTCTCATAACCATCCTTATCTGATATCCTCTTTTTTTTAAGATTTATTTATTATGTGTACAGCATTCCTTCCATGTCTGACTGCAGGCCAGAAGGGGGTGCCAGATCTCATTATAGATGGCTGTGAGCCACCATGTGGTTGCTGGGAATTGAACTCAGGGCCTCTGGAAGAGCAGTCAGTGCTCTTAACCTCTGAGCCATCTCTCCAGCCCCTGATGTCCTCTTCTGACCTTCTCTGGTATCAGGCACATACATGGCACACAGACATACATGCAGGCAACCTACATATACATGAAAAATCTAAGAAAAATTTTAAAAGAGAGAAGTGAAAGAAAAAAATTCTTGGGCTGGAGAGATGGCTCAGCAGTTAAGAGCACTCCCTGCTTTTCCAGAGGACCTGAGCAGAGATAGAGGAAAAAAGAAGATGGAGTCAGTGAGATGCCATGTAGCTGCTAAAGGAGACAGACACCAGAACCAAACTGGTAAACCACTACCCTCGTGGCGATATATAGAATAATAGAAATGGGTTGATTTAAGATGTAAGACTTAGTTAATAAGAAGTCTAAGCTAAGGCCAGGCGGTGGTGGCGCATGCCTTTAATCCCAACACTCGGGAGGCAGAGGCAGGTGGCACAGGCTTTTAATCCCAGCACTATAAGACAGAGGTAGGCAGATCTCTGTGAGTTCGAGGCCAGCCTGGGCTACAAGAGCTAGTTCCAGGACAGGCAACAAAGCTACAGAGAAACCTTGTCTCGAAAAACCCAAAGGGAAAAAAAGAAGTCTAAGCTATTGATGAAGCAGTGTTGTAATTAATATAGTTTCTGTGTAATTATTTCAGGTCTGTGCTGCCGGAAACGAACAAGTAGCCTTCAACTACACAGTCTAAAAGTTCAACTTTTTATTTGGGCAGTGGTGGCACATGCCTTTAATACCAGCACTTGGGAGGCAGAGGCAGGCGGATCTCTGCGAGTTTGAAGTCAGCCTGGTCTACAAGAGCTAGTTCCAGGACAGGAACCAAAAGCTATGGAGAAACCCTGTCTCAAAAAAGAAAGAAAGCGGGGCTGGAGAGATGGCTCAGAAGTTAAGAGCACTGCCTGCTCTTCCAGAGTTTCTGAGTTAAATTCCCAGCAACCACATGGTGGCTCACAACCATCTGTAATGAGGTCTGGTGCCTTCTTCTGGCCTGCAGACATACATACAGATAGACTATTGTATGCATAATAAATAAATATTTAAAAAAGAAAGAAAGCAATAAAGAAAATTAAAAGAAAAATAACTAGTGTGGTGGCACACGCCTTTAAGCCCAGCACTCAGGAGGCAGAGGCAGGTGGATCTCTGTGAATTAGAGGCCAGCCTGGTCTACAGAGTGAGTTCCAGGACAGTCAGCGCTATATAGTGAGACCCTGTCTCAAATAACAATAAGAAGAAAATTAAAAATATTAACTAAATATAAAAAGACTGAAGCCAGAATCAGGTGTGTAACTGTAATCAAAGCACCTGGGAGGTGGAAGCAAGAGCATCAGGAATTAGAGGGCAGCATGGGCCATACAGTGAGTTTGAGGCCAGTGTGAAGAAGTCAGTAAGAACACGAAAGCAATGGTGGTAGAGCACTTGCCGGCCATAAATTTGGTGGAAAGGAAAGACAGACAAGGGAAGGAGCAATTTAGCTCTAATCCAGGCAGAAAAGAGGATTGAAAATTTCCCCGGCTTTGCCTCCTGGATTGCTGTTGCTAGGAATATCTGGAGAGCTAAAGTGAGTGCTGAGTTAAAGAATGTCAGGTGACTGATAAGCATCTCTCACAGCCTTTAGGGGTGGGATCAGTGGGACAAGTTGGGCAAGAATCTAGAAAAACAAGTTACTTTTGGAAAACAGATTACTTAGTTTTGGGAATTGTCACTGTTTAATAAAAAATGGAGTTTTTTTAAATGATGTGGCATTGGTTAACAACTACTATGCAAGAGGTTCAAGCTCCGGTACCATTTTAAAGAAAAGAGGTAAAAAGGTGTGCTGACATTTTATAAACAGCCTTTGTGAGGCAAAGGCAAGGAAGGTCACAGGTTGAAGGTCAGCCTGGGCAGCTACCAGGTCAATCTGAGTTTCAGAGAAAGAGACCCTGTTTTACTTCCAAATATTTGCCTCAAAGCACCAGAGTTTGTAGTGCAATGTGTGTAAACCCCTAAAACACACACACAAGAACAAAACCAAGAGACACCTCCAAATAATTAAAACAATTCTGGAAAAGCAATACTGAGTGGGAAAACACTTCTTGGTTTCCAAATGCTGCTGAGTAACATCTATTACAGTGAAGTACTGGACAACAGAAAACCTGACGGAACACGATAGGAGTCCAGACATCTCCCCAGGAAGTGGTAGCATGACTTTTGACAAGGATACCAAAGCTACAAACTAGAAAAGGACAATTCTTTCCAAAAATACTTTTAGGGAGCTTAAAACAAATAGTTTCAGGGAAAGCAGATACCTACATGCAAAAGAATGACGTTCAGGGCAGGAGAGATGGTTCATCAACTAAGAGCACATAAAGCTCTTAGGGAAGACAGCTCAGCTCTCAGCTGCCGCTAACACCAGCTTGAAAGGATCAAATGCCATCTTCAGCCACCTGCACTTCCCTCAGCATACACGTAATTAAAAAGGAAATATTTTAATTAAATTAAAATTTTCGTACTACACATAAATATTTGTTGTCATTGCTTTAATTTTATTATTTTTATGTATATGGGTGTTTTGTCTGCATGTATTTCTGTATACCAAGTACATACCTGGTACTCATGAAGGCCAGAAGAGGGCATTGGATGCCCAGGAACTGCACTTACAGTCATGAGTTGTCCTGTGTGTTTCTAGGATTCTAATCCAGGCCATCTTGAAGAGCATGTAGTGCTTTATGGTTTTTTTGGGGGGGATGGGGGGTTCTCGAGACAGGGTTTCTCTGTAGCTTTGGAGCCTGTCCCGGAACTAGCTCTTGTAGACCAGGCTGGTCTTGAACTCAGAGAGATCCGCCTGCCTCTGCCTCCCAAGTGCTGGGATTAAAGGTGTGTGGTGCTTTTTAAGTGATGAGCCATCTCTCCTGCCTTGACAGCTTACTTTTTTTTTTCATAAACTGGCCCATTAGCTCATGCTTCTTATTAACTCTTGAAACTTAAATTAACCCATTGTTCTAGTATATGTTAGCCACATGGCTCAATACCTTTTTCAGCGGGGCAGGTCACATCCTGCTCCTTCAGTGTCTGGACAACAACAGCTTATTTTTTTTATGTGTATTATTGCTTCACTTTTAAATCGTCTCCTTGCTACTTTGCAGCCTCTGTGTTGTGCTTTCCCGTCGCTTTAAGGGACAAGCCACGCCCATTCCTTTTTTACCTCTGACCTCCGCCACCATCTCTCTCTCTTCTCCAGATGTACACCTCCTCCTCCTCCTCCTCCTCCTCCTCCTCCTCCTCCTCCTCCTCCTCCTCCCCCTCCCCCTCCCCCTCTCTCTCTCTCTCTCTCTCTCTCTCTCTCTCTCTCTCTTAATAAATACTTATGCCTATTTTTGTGTCTATGTGTCTGTTACCCACCACCACCGCCTGCGCGGCGCGTGCCCTCCCGCTGGTGGGAAACTATAGCCGCTTGTCACATGGTGGGCTCCACCAGCCCGCCCCGGGGATCTTACAACCGTCTCTTCGGGGCTAGCAGCTGCACCGCAAACATCTTAGAAACATCTTAGGAATAAGATTGGTGCCACGTGACTCCCTAATTGCTTCAATTGGCGCTTCCATCGGTGAGTGTCTCCCGTTCTGCTAAGGTCGCTTTCGTTCTGCTGCGGTTGCCTTCCCTTGCCAGAGCCGCGTTTGGATCGGTCCTGGGGGCTGGTCCGCGCGTGCAGTGCATTCGACTGAGGACCGGGTCCTCAGCTTCTTTCCATTTCCTTTCTTTCCTTTTTCTCTTCTCTCGACGGTTACGGTTAAGCACTGCTTGGAGCGGCGCCCCCAGCCTTCCTGGTTTCTGGGTCGCGAGAATCCAGCTAGGCCATAGCACCCCACCCGTGGACAAAGGACACTTTTCCACGTGGTCCTGGGTGTTCGTACTGCGGGTTTTCACGATTTTGGCTCTGGATAGCAACCAGCTCCCTGGCTTTTTCAGTTCCAGCTTTTTCAATTCCAGCCGTGGCATGGTGCAGTTTTTTTCAGTTCCAGCCTTTTGCCCCTCCCCGCTGCGGCTTCTGTTATGTCATGGAGGCTCTACAACAAAACAAAAACTTTTTTCCACAACACGTGGCAGTCGCCACGTGACCACACTCTCCCGGTTTTACTCACAGTTTTATGGTTTTACTCCTGGTTTTACCCTGCCTCTTCACCCAGTTTTCACTGAACTCCTCATGTTAACTCTGTTAAATGTGTTTTGAGCAATGGTCAAATGCCTTTGATAGGGCCCATCAGAGGCGTCCACATTGCCCAATTCTTGTTCACTCTTTCTATGTATAATAATTGTTTATTACATCTTATTTCAGACTACAAAACATGAGTCTCATATTTTAAACTGGTATGTACTTTTAAGTTTCTTAAGCTGTTCTCTACCATTGTCAGTTCTGGCATTAACCTTCCATTGCCAGCAGTTTCTTCTTTCTGCCTTTTTACAAGTGTGGATCTTACCTGTTCAGAGCCAGTATACTGCAGCTATATTTAATCCAGCCCTCAACTGCTCAGAGATCTGGGAATGCGATATTTAAGTATTTAATATTTAAAAACTTTTTTTTTTTTTTTGGTTTTTTGAGACAGGGTTTCTCTGTGGCTTTGGAGCCTGTCCTGGAACTAGCTCTGTAGACCAGGCTGGTCTCGAACTCACAGATATCCGCCTGCCTCTGCCTCCCAAGTGCTGGGATTAAAGGCGTGCGCCACCACCGCCCGGCAATATTTAAAAACTTTTCGTAACAAAAGAGACAGGTTGGCTCCTAGCAGCACACTCTTTATTTCCTCCAAAGAAGACAGAAGACAAATGGACACACAGAACAACGTCCTTCTGCGGCTCACTTTGACTGCCGAGTGCTGACCATTGGGCAAAACTGCCTTTCATCTAAACTAAAGACCTCTAGACGTGGACGGAATCACTGGAATTGACAGCCTAGCTGCTCAGGTCAAGGTAGGCCTGTCTTCCTACAGATTTCTTAGCCCACAGAATCTTCTGGAGCCTGGCAGGCCCTGCGCTAAACAGCAAAGCTCAAGTGCAACCTTCAGAGACCATGGAGGACCCAAAAAAAGAGTAGCTCTGGGTGCCAACCATGTAAGGTCTCTGTCATTTTTTAATCAGTAACTCAAGTAAAATCTTATAATTCTCAAAGATCTCTGACAGTTTGATAGCTGAGGGGTTTTCAAAGATTACCTCACCAAACAAATTTTAAATCAAATTTCTCTCCTATACTGCTTTCCATGTGTCTAAAACTTCTGTTTTTACAAACCCAAGGAGTTCTCGTGAGTTCCAGGGAGCCGAATTAAAAAAATCCATCTTAAACAGGTCAGATACCGGGCTGGAGAGATGGCTCAGAGGTTAAGAGCACTGACTGCTCTTCCAGAGGTCCTGAGTTCAATTCCCAGCAACCACATGGTGGCTCACAGCCATCTGTAATGAGATCTGGTGCCCTCTTCTGGCATGCAGGCATACATCGAGGCAGAATGTTGTATACATAATAAATAAATAAATCTTTA